TGCATTTTATCATTATTTTATTATCTTATTTATTTATTTCATATAAGTATAATTTTGTGTAAGTGTCAATATGCACTTATTTACAAGATATACAAAAAATTTACCTAAATCCGCCTAGACCGCCTAGTGCCTAGCCGCCTAGGCGCTAGGCGCTAGGCCGCCGCCCGACTAGTGCCTAGCTTTTTTTAGAACCTTGAATGCAACCTTTTACACTCGATACTTATCCAATAGAGAGAAACATGATAGAGATTGGCTAGTCTATTCAAAGGATGTTGATAAAGTGTTATGTTTTTGTTGTAAATTGTTCAAGAAAAGGCCTTTTAAAGATCAATTAGCAAATGAGAGCTACAAAGATTGGACATATCTCAATGTGAGGCTTAAAGAGCATGAAAACAATTTTGATCACATCTCAAACATGACCATTTGGATTGATTTGCGTCTTAGATTGTAGAAAAACGAAACAATTGACAAAGTTGTGCAAGACCAGATCAAGAAAGAAAAAGAGTATTGGAGGGAGTTACTACGATTGTTGATTTCCATTGTGAAATATCTGGCTTTTCGTGGAAATAAGGATAAGCTTTATCAAGAAAGTAATGGAAAATTTATGGGCCTAGTTCAAATGATGGCTGAATCTGATCCATTGATAAAGAATCATCTTCAACGCTTCCAAAATAATGAGATTCGTTATCATTATCTTAGTCATACCATCCAGAATGAGTTGATATTGTTGATATCTTGTGAAATCAAAGCTGCAATCATTCAAAAAGTCAAAGAAGCTAAATATTTTACAGTGATACTTGATTGTACTCCTAATTTTAGCCACCAAGAACAGATGAGCTTGATCATAAGATGTGTGGATGTGAACAGTACTCCAGTAAAAGTAGAATAATATTTTTTGCAATATTTGATTGTGAATAACACATTAGGAGAAGGACTGTTTGAAGAGTTGCAGAATGTATTAAAAGTTCTTGCTCTTTATATTGATGAGCTCTTTGATGTTGATGGGGATGCATTATTAGTAGAGTTGAAGGTTTTATGAGAGTGTTTGCCAAAAGAAATAAAGCCATCCATTCACATATTGAACTACTTGAAGAGGATGCGTTGTTTCCCGATTGCAAGCATTGCATACATAATTTTGTTGACTGTACCTATTACCGTTGCATCTGCAAAAATGAGTTTCTCAAAGTTAAAGTTATTAAAATCATATTTGCGGTCAACCATGTTGCAGGAAAGGTTAAATGCACTTGCTTTGATATCGATTGAAAGTTATTTTTTAGACAAAATTGATTATGAAGGTTTAATTGATGATTTTACAGCAAAGAATACACGAAGAGCCATCCTTAAGTGAAACTTCAGTGCTAGACTTTTTTAAGTTTTGTTTATTTGGTTTCTTTAGATTGAACTTATTGTTAGTTATTAGTACGATGATTACTTTGTAGCTTTTTTTACATTTAATAATATTTAGAAATAGATGGTTAGTGAGTTTTAAAGTTTATTTCGATATTGTTTTTTTAGCATCAATACATTGTTCAATTTCTTTTTAAGATGTCTTATAAGAAAGCCTCTTTTTATGAATTCCGCACAGAACCTCCGAAATCTCAAAGATGACCTTGCGTCAGACAAATAGGTATACGATAAGTATACACAGAAATTAACGTGAGTGAGCAACCATGCACCCTAGGATACGTGAAGGAGGATATCACATAGTAACCCAATTTTGTAGTGATATTGTAGTTTGGGCATGTGACTGAACTTGATTCTGTTCTTGTCTATTCAAATCTGTCGTATTTAGGGTTATGAGTTATGACTGTAACATTAAACATACTAGAAGAGGACAGAAACTTCTTGACAAAGAGATTTATTGTTGGACAAGCTATATGTGGATCTAAGACTAAAGACACAGTGGCGGAGCCAGAATTCTGAATGAGGAGGGGCCTTTTACACACTTATATATATATATATATATATGAGTGTGTGTAAAAAGTTGAATTCATAACATGTTGACATATGTAATTTGTGTAATCCTCACAAAACTGAAAAAATTCTCTTAAATTCAATACTAAAAAGAAAAAAATGTAAAAAAACCCAGACAACCAAGTAAGAGGTAGGTTGTGGAAGGCTAAAGAAAATACAAAGAAGTAGAAAAAGAATGAAAAGGGGGAGAGGTTTGCAAATAAAGAAGGTGAGTTGCTTTAGAAAATTATAGGGTGTATATTACTGTTAAGTGAGAGAATCGAACCAGAAGTGGGGTTGCTTTTTCCATTTAAAATTGCACATCTCTTTTAAAACTCCCCTACCAAACTTATCGTTTCATTAGACAGTCGAAAAGATTTAAAATCAAAACAGCTTAACGACGTCGTTTGCTTCATCTTCTTCCATGAGGTTCACACCTCAGATGAAGTCAGGATGGGCCGGGGACTACCCTAGTCCCTTGGTGGCTCCGCCCTTGTAAAGACAATCATGCAGGCCTCGCATACAACTTGGACCTTCCTTTGTAAATTAGAAGATATAATGTTCAAGCCCAAATAATATAGTGCTTGAGAAAGTTTTCAAATTTTATTTTATGGTCCGATAACCCTAGAATGGATACGAACAGAAAGTTCTAGCATACTACAATGACATGTTTGCGGGAAAAGGATCATTTTTTTGAGGATACTAAGGATCCTATGATTGGGATCATCTCTCGTACATCGTGTGATTAAAAATTATTTTAAAATTTAAAATTTAAAAGTAAATATAAATAGTACTTAACGAAAACTGACCGCACAATGAACGAGCGATCACGGGATCCTTAGGATCCCCAAGAAAAGGATCCGTCCATGTTTGAGTACATGAAATGAAATGACTCAAAAATGTGCACTTGATTACCTGATGATTAAAAATTGGATTTTTATCACAAATGGTTCCTAAAATTGACTCATCCCATCAAAATAGTCCATAAAATTGAAAATGTAGTTTCTGAAAATAGGCGTTGCAAATCAATATGCTCATTCCATCACAATTCCGTTAAAAATTCTGTTATATGCTGATGTGATATATAACTGGGTCCCACAAGTCTAAGTAAATATTACCATGTGGATTAAAAATATTTAAATAATAAAAAATAATTTTTTTTTTGAATAATTAAAAACTTAAAAAAAAAATGATTTGGGAATTCTACGGAGCTCGACTGCCTCGACAACAATGGCAGCAAAATTAGGTTCCTTCAATTACAATTTCCAGGAGAAGAGAAAGCGGTTGCTCTTCGTCTAGAAGGGCTGCTCCTACTCCGAGCTGGGTGGCTTCCTCCACATCGAGGAGCAAGACCCGTCGTCTGTCATCTCTATCTCAACTTAGTTCTCTCATACCCCCCTATGAGGAATCAAATCCTTTTGGAACTCTATTTCTACCCTTTTCTTTCTTCTTTGGCACCCTGTTCAAATCATCAATTCCATCAGCTCCTGGTTCATTGGTAACTATTCAATCTTCGTTCACATCGATCGCAGAAGAAATTCCAGAATCATGAATTCCCGCTCAGCTTCATCCCCGCTGCTCAAGACAACAGAGGATGAAGAGTTTGTAAGTTTAGCAAAGAGAATGTTAGAAAACAGTAAATATCATGAATAACCTTTCAATGGAATTGGAATCGGGCCGCTGGCTCTTTTTCCCGTCTGGAAGTGCAAGAGTTCCAAGACCATCACCTTTTTTTTTTAATTTTTTTTAGTTTTTAATTAATTTTTTTTAATCCACGTGGCAATATTTAATTAGATTTGTGGAACCTAATTATGTGCCACATTAGTACATAATAGAACTATTAACATAATTGTGACAGAATGACCACATTGATTTGCGACGTCTATTTTCAGGGACTACATTGATTGATTTTTAATTTCATGGACCATCTAGATAAGATGAGTCAATTTTAAGAATTATTTATGCCTCTCTCTCTCATATAGGCATTTCAGCCTCTATCTAGCCATAAGTTTGGCTTCCACACCAAAAGTGGGGTTAGAACCCAAAACCTCAAGTTTTTAGTTTTAAAAATGTGTAATCTCTTTTTTACCAATGAACCATCAACTCATGATTATAAATGTGCTGAATTAGATAGTAACATGTAATCCGCCATTTTGGTCATGTGACCAACATATGAGAAGGAGATGGAATAATCATGTGTAAAGAAATGTTTCTTTTGGATCATATAAGGAATTTGAACTCAAAAACATATTTTTTGATGTTAAGATATTAACATCGAAACAGATGTTTTGAGTTCAAGTTTGTAATTTGAATATAGTCTCAACATTCAGTTCTTTTTGTGACTTGTTTTTTTGTAGCCTCATTATTGAGCAAAGAAAACCTTAGCTACGAAACGACTTTCACAAAAGTAAGAGTCTCTAGTATTCTAGTTATATTAGACTACACAAAAACCCACTCGATATTGAAATTTTTCTAGTTAGGCAGTCGTGTCGAAATTTCTATCAACTATACATAAAAGAATGAAACTTTAACGAAAAGCTCCCAATACTGTTTACTTTAACGAAAAATCACATTTTTACATTAAAAAGTCAATCTTACTATTTATTTTACCCTTTATTTTTTTCTTATCGTTAAAACTCAAAGTTTTCAAGCCATTTTCATAAATTCACCCATAAAAAAATTCTAACAAAGACACTGACTAGACTCAAAATTGAATACAATCACGATCGGCTTGTTGCCCACGCCATAAAGAACAATAATTTAGTGTGGTTGAGACCGCTTAATTAAAGCAAAGCCATATATTTGGAACTGTAAACGTGGCCGTATTGCAAGCAAGAGAAGTCGTCCATGGCATCGAACTTTTTGCTCACATCCCCGCTGCCACGTAATCCAAGAACCTTCTTTTTCCCTTTCTTTTTTCCTTAACGACCAAAATTCGAAAGATTTTTCAGTGTAACCGTTATACGAATAGTATATTATGTGTCGTTATATAAATAATAAGATATATATGTTAAAAGTTAATAACTTCAAAAACAAAATTTCTCACCACTTACCTGAAAAGTACCACCGTGTTCCCGTTACAGCTAAAAGTTTCTCCTCAAGTCCTCTCTCTCTCCATTTTGCCCTCTCCCTGTTGGCACCGCCGCTATTCGATATTTGGCGGGGCTCTGGCCACCGACCCGAGAATCTGTCAAATGGGTTTTTCTCCTCTTGGGGTTGGAACTTAGAGGAATGTGAGATTTGGAAGTGAGGGAGTGTCGAGCTTGTCGAGATCATGAGAGGGGTTGAAGGAAGATTTTGTGAGGAATTTTCACCTGCTTATTATGGGCTGTGTACTGTTGGAGGAATGCTCAGTGCTGGCGCTACCCATCTCGCAATCACGCCACTCGATGTCCTGAAAGTTAATATGCAGGTTAGTTTTCGTTGATTTTTTCTGGGTTTTTGTTGTTATCAATTTTTTTAGCTTGCTTTCCAATTTTCTTGGATGTTTTGTGTGTTAAAGTTGAGAACTTTGCCTTTTGGTGACAAATGTTTGGTGGGGTTTTGTTGCTTTGTTTTGTCTGGCATTGCTTGTTGTTGTTGTTCTCGAATTAAAGAATTAATATTCAGCTTTGTGCGACAATTTTTCGGGCATTGTGTTCATGCGGTTCTTTTAGAGGTCCTTGTTGCTGTTGTCCTGTTCATCACTGTGATCATTCAAGTTTTGTTGTTTTTTTTGTTGTGTTGGATGTTTGAATAAAAGATTCGTGCTTAGTTTACTTTGCAAGAGTTAGAAGTTTCCGAAAAGGGAATAGGGGTTACGCGTTTGGGATGTATCTCCTTCACCAAAACATCGTGAATGGATCTTCATGGTGCTGATGGGTTGTCACGACATATTTAATACTTTAAATGGCATGGGTCTCAGGTTAGTGTAACCAACTACATTGCATCCCAAGCATGTAATTCGTGCTTTAGCTCATATCTTCGAGTGACGTACCAAATGTGAATCTCTGTTCGTTCCAGTGATGAAATTTCATGCGGTTGCATTGATTTCCATATGTCCATTTAAATTTTCATTTCCGTTAGTGGTGGATGCAAATTAATGTTTCGGGGGATCGATCTCCCTTAGTTTGATCTCTTCTGAAATTTGTTACTCTTTTGATAGTCGAGAACATAATTTGTCTCTAAAATGCTCTAATAATTTAACTTGTCCAATTCAGGTAAATCCAATTAAATATAACAGGATGGGTACAGGGTTTTCTACTCTTTGGAAAGAACAAGGCCCGTCTTCTCTTTGGAGAGGTTGGTCTGGAAAGCTTTTCGGATATGGTGTTCAGGGTGGCTGCAGATTTGGTCTCTATGAATACTTTAAGAAGCTTTACTCAGATGCATTGATAGATCATAACAAGAGTACCATATTCTTCCTCAGCAGTGCATCTGCTCAAGTATTTGCTGATGTGGCTCTCTGTCCTTTTGAAGCCGTCAAAGTCCGAGTTCAAACACAGCCCTACTTTGCAAAGGGCTTGGTTGATGGGTTTCCAAAGTTATACTCAGCTGAAGGGATAACTGGGTAAGTTACCCCAAAAACTTGATGCCTTTTCTCCTGTTAGTTTCTCAGTTATCCTTATCAGCTTACCTACACTGCAGCTTTTACAGAGGACTTTTACCACTATGGGGTCGAAATCTTCCATGTAAAATCTCTATCTCTGCATTGCAAAAATCCTTCATTTGCTTGTTTAGTGGGATCCCTTCAAATTTCACTACTGACATATGATTGTTATTAAAAGGCTACTTGATATTATCTCATTCCTGCTTTTCTAGTAATCACTTTGGGTGAGAGTTATTATTGAACTTGTTAAAAAAAAAAAAAAAACCTGAATTATTATGAACGGGAAAACATTAGGTTTTTGGTACTTTACCTTTGAGACTTTATGTCATGCCTGAATCAAGCAATCAGCCAGTTGCTGGTTTTAGCATGACAAAGTTACTATATTTTCCTAGTTCTTGTGGTCAAGCATTCAGTACAGAGTAGAGACTTGTATTGTCAATTTGAAGTAAATCTTTATTAACTGTGCTGATGTGGATATGTTCTTCAGTTTCGATGATAATGTTCACGACGTTTGAGCACTCAGTTGATCTTATTTATCGCAAGTTTATGCAAAGGGGAAAAGAGGAATGCTCAAGAGCCCAACAGCTTGGTGTTACATGTTTAGCGGCCTATGCTGCAGGAGCTGTTGGTACCGTCGTCTCCAACCCTGCTGACAACATTGTTTCCTCACTTTACAATAAAAAGGCTGCCAATGTGATGCAGGTAGCCCTTCGAGTTAACCTTTTTGTTATGTTCCTTTTTGCATTTCAAAGTGAAAACATCAATTGCTCTGGCTTTTATCTTATCATCAGGCTGTGAAGAACATTGGATTCATTAATCTGTTTACTCGAAGTCTTCCTGTTCGAATTACACTTGTCGGCCCTGTTGTTACCTTGCAGTGGTTTTTCTACGACAGCATCAAAGTTCTTTGTGGATTGTAAGTGCATTTTACTTGATTCACACACACCAACAGGTTATCTTTCCTCCTTTTATCTAATTACAAGTTTCTCTTTGAACCTTTTAGGCCATCTAGTGGAGGGCTTTCCAGGCGTCTTGAAGAAGCTAACCTATCAGCTGAATAACATAGATTAGATAATGAACAGTTCAGCTGGTTTTTCAGCGTTGACACCTCGTCATGCTACGGTTCATCCCCGGTGTCGGTGGCAATTGAGTTAATAGTTTTGTTATATCCGGTTATATATCCATAACATTTCACGGATATGCAACCTAGCTTCGTGAAACTTTATAGTTTAGGGTACATAAGATGTAAATAGATTCTGCTGTACGATTTTATGTTAATGTGCAGCAGAAGCAATTATAAAATGTGGTTTGGAAGACATTTTGTGTACTTCAAATCTTGTTTTTTGTGGTAATAGACATCTGCAGGCATAACACTGACGTTCATGCTGAAGATGCAAACAATAAACCAGAGCTTGACGGCTGAATCTAAGAGCCCGTTTGATAACCATTTCGGTTTTCGTTTTTAGTTTTACATAGAAGAGTATACAAAGTGAAGTAATGTTCATAAATCATGATAATCCAACAATCTCTAAGAATAATGCATGGACTAATTTCAAGCTTATGGATCTACATCTTAGATGCATATATGTTTGCACAGATTTTTCGGCCGAAGCCTCCAAACAATTACAGCAACGTATATGTTTTACCGGAAACATGGCTGATTTTTGAAGCAGTTCATCTTATTAAGTGCCAAATCTGTCATATCGACTGGCTTCAGATTCTTCTTGTCCCGTATCTTCTTCTCCTTTTGGTTCCGCAATCATGACATTGGAGTTCAATTTCCCAGCATCTTCGGCATACAGCAGGCAGATCCACCACATTTTAACCATCGGACTGAAATAGTAGGGGATGGTGGGGAATGAATCCAGTTTGCACAAGTCAACTGAGGCCTCAGTGACAAGTTTGTAAAAAGCAGTGGAGCACTCTAAATCCGATTGCTCTATAAGCTCCAAGGCATTATACCACACAAACACGTGATCTGCATTGCAAGCGTCGATGGCTGTATGTATCCCAGTGCAGACTATAACAACTGAATTCACAGCTTTCACCATTGCTAGTTAGGAAATTTACATAGCATGCAAACTCTAAATCCCAATCAACAGCATGACCTGATGCAACAATAGATAGAGCGAAACCCAAGAAACCACTCTATGAAACCAGTTTGAAGAAGCTTGATATTTAGTGAAGATCCCTCGTTTTGATAGCTGAACCAATTTGGAATTTCGTTCCCCGGACATACAATGACAACTGAAACTTCTTTCTCACAACGTCCCTGTACCATGGTCCATAGATGGACGACATGATTATTTACCATAAATCTAGTTACTGAATTCAAGGCTCTTGCAATTGTTAAGCGCAGGCAAAATAGTTCAGAAGCTTGTTTGATGCTTGGGACAAACTCAAGGTTCTTGCAGCCTGACATGTTTAATCTTCTAAGTCCAGTGAGATTCACAATCGGTGAGAAGAGCTCCTTAACTGATGTTCTTTCTAAAGAAAGACACGCTAGATGTTCCATTGGCTCCAAGATTTCTGGGAAGTATTTCAATGCAGAGCAACCAGTGAGATCAAGTTCCTCAAGATATTTCAACCTACAAATGCTAGTTGGGAGACTTGCAAGTCTTTTGCAATTTTTCAGTTGAATTAAGACAAGGCCAAAGAGACACTTGATTGATGATGGCAGTTCTACTATTGCTGTACCAGCCAAATATAACTCTCTTATGTACCTAGGATGCTCCGAGAATTTTACAAGAGTTAAGCAGCCCTGTAAACTAAAAGTACCTGATATTTTCAGCTTACAACTGCAACTTTCAAGACTCTTAATTTTTTTCTTCGTCCAAATTGGAAGATTCTCAAGGTTGTTATAAAATAGAATTTCCAAGGACCAAACTTTTTCGTGAGACCAAGGTTATGAAGGAAATTCCGTTATTGCGGTCTTGAACATATCTATGGATGCAATACTGTATAGCCTCTCCGGAAGGTTTTTGAGTTTCAAGCAGCCCCCCAGCCTAAGCTTGTCAAGACATTGAATATACAAAGGAAGTTGAACCAGACTTCTACAGTCACTAAGATCTATAAGCTCAATGTTTCGACTTTGAGAGAGATCCGGAAGTTTAGTCAGACTTCTCGAGCAATGAAGATCGATCACTTTGAAGTTCCTAAGATTCTGTAACAAATTTTAGACAAGAGACTTGAGACCTTGAGAAAGGTACAAAGGAGTATGAATCTCCAACGAGTTTAGATTATACATGTTTTTAAGGCTTTAGGACTCAAGTGTAGGTTTCTATTGTTTGACCTGTCGAGGAATATCGACTGAACTGTTGCACTTCCCTGAAAATGAAGATCAATTTAAGTTATAAATGAGAATACAATAGGAAATAAACCAGAGTTGTATACACATCTGACAAGTTCATGATATTCTTTTTCTTTCAAGAAAGTGAAAGCATTTGGCTCTTACCACATTATTTTCCAAAACGCGATATTCTCGGCATCAAACAACCTATTGCAATTTCCAGGGTCGTCAAGACATTGTTCACGTACAATTTGCTGACCCATCTCTTGTATCATATCATGCATCTCTATGCTCTTCCTGTAAGAATGTGAGCATAAGTATGAATATGTGAACTTAGTTACACGATTAAAGACTGAATAGGAAGTCTTATCGGGATTGGATTTGTGAATCCATATTGGTGCTGAATTACTATTTCATAGGAATTGTTTTTCTATATGGATTTTAATAGGGAAATCCTTATGGAAGAAGGCTAGGATTATGTAGTATATATATAGTGGCCTCTGCTCTCGCAGTGGGTGCTCAACTCCGGACTAAGACCTATTGTTAGTTAAGAGCCTTTGGAACACTGAAGAGAGGAGAAGGCGCACTGTGTCTTGTTGCAGAGATTAAGCATGGCAGCCGGTTCAAGTTCTTCCGCAGGTATGTCTTTTCTCTCTGCACTGCTTTATGGTTTATGGTTTTGTGTTTGAATCACGGTAACTTGCTTTGCATGATCTTGGTGTTGTGTTTATGCTAACACTTCCAGTATCCCCGTTTTGAAATTTGATATGAGAGACATAGCGATGAGAGCTTCAATTCCAGTCAGATAGAAACCACGAATGCGTAACCTTCTTTTTACGTAGTTCACATCCATCCCTTTATAAAAACATGCTATATCAAGAAATATCTCCCTCTCATTTTCTTCCAATCCATCATAACTCAGCCTCAACAAATTCTGAATTTTTTTGCTGGGATATTTCTTCAATTTGTTCCACACATCTTCCCATTCTTCTTTGCCCATGCAGTGAAAGAATAAGGAACCCAAAACTTTGAGACCTATAAAGGAAGACCCTTGACATAATCTAATACCTTTCCTGACAACTCTGCATAATCTGTTTGAGGAGTGCTGTTTCTGAAAGCATTCAAATTAAATAGCGTAAGAGCTTCAGCTGAAGGTAACCCTTGAACCCTGTATATCTTAGAATCATGAATATTCTTTTTCTCAAGTAGGCTTTTATCTCTAGTTGTGATAATGATCCTACTTCCAGGGCCAAACCAAGCATCATCTCCAGCCAGAAGCTCTATCTGGTCCATTTCATCGACAGCATCAGGAACAACGAAGACATTTGTACAGTGTAGCTTCTCTTGTACAGAAGTTGACCCTATAGATGGAGTGTCGATTCTTAGATCCTCTTCCTTTAGTATCTGACCAAGAAGTTCATCTCGCACGTGATTTGGTCCATGTTTTGCATATTTCGCACTAACATTTGCAAGAAAACAAGATGCTTCAAATTCATAATACAGCACCAGCAAGGGTGGTCTTTCCAATACCACCCATGCCCCAAATGTAAGAAGAAATATAAACTTATAGACTAACTCAGCAGCCAAGAACATAAGGACTAATCAACTAAATCACAACCCTTTGATCGTGTATGTAATGTGAATGTGAAAACAGAAACAATTGCACCAGTACATACCTGAACAAGATCTGTTCTATAGGGTCGTACCATTACATCCTTAATTTCTAAGGAGACAGGAACTCAAACCTGGTTCTGCATTGTTCGATCCCGATGAAGAAGCCATTGCAGCCTCTGTGTTCGAAACCTTCTCCTCTTTTACGATCACAATAGTTTTTCTAATCAATAGGACTTAGAACAACATAAGTTGATATCGCAAGAGCAGTGGTTTGAACCATAAATATATAGTGCTCCTCTGTCCATTCCCTATCAGAATTGGACTAGGATTCAAAGACATACAAACCATAAAGATTCATGAGACCTTATAAAGTTCCAACACAAAGTTCTTTTCCAAAACCAATTGGAACTTCTCTCAAGACTGCATTCCTTATCAGATTTAGACTTCTTTATAATATCAATTATCCCAAGACTTGTAAGAATCATACTCATACTCTTACACCAAATACCTATCAGACTCAAAACGCTTGGTGAATCAATGCATAGTAACGATTCAACTTCCTGAATGCGACTTTCAATTCCAAATAGGCCTTTTAAATCACCTGACGATTTGCAACTCAATTGTTTCAAAATATATTTGACAATTAGTCAACAAAGCCTGCATCTGTCGTGGAAAACATGATTATGAAGGCAAAGTATCCCTCCCGTCGTGCACCTTGTCAATCAAACCCAGATAGATTGGCTGCTTTCGTCAAAGTATCCCTCCAGTTGTGCACCTTGTCCATATTGTCCTTGAAACGTTCTTCAAGTTGAGCAAATGCATCTGCATAACTCCCCTGCTGCTTTCTTACATGTGATGGATCAATGTCGTAAAAAATGGGTAAAACAAGCTGCCCATTTCTTTCCTTGCATCCAAGTATGTGCGCAAGTTCATCCAGACACCAAGTGGAAGAAGCATGGTTTGTCAAGAAAATGATAACAGAAAGCTTTGATTTCTCGATTGCTTCGAGAAGGGCATGTGAAATTTCGTTTCCTCTCTCAAGTATGTCGTCTATGTAGGTGATCTTCTTCCCCGATAAAGCAGCGTAAAGATGGCTGGTAAAAGTATTGCGGGTGTCCTCACCTCTGAAACTTAGAAAGACATCATACTTTTCTTGAGGGGGTATAGCAGCAGCAGCAGCAGAAGAAGCAGCCATTCTTAACCTGCAAATCCACAAATCATATAAATCATGCAAATGCGCCTGGCCTAGAAATATATTCCTAAAATATTATCCATATTCCAGAATTAGAAATCCTAAACTAGAAAATCTAACAGATTAATTGACGATCTTCGTACCCTGAAATGTCAAATGTTCTCGTGTAGCTTGAATTTTCGCCGTGTAAATGTAAAATCACTGTCTCATGACTAAAAGAAAGAAAGTCTATGAACTAAGAAGTGGTCTGCTTTCAGATACCAAAAAGGGGAGATGCTTAGGTCAAATTCCACAACCTTCATATTGAAGAGGGAAATAAAGTAGTTTAGGTGATCATCACTAGCTAAGGTATTAATTAGAAATTCCTGATGACAATACAAACTAAAATATATATTAAAGATGATCAGGTAAAGTGATTTATATTACGAAAAATTCTAATATGCTCCGATGTATTCTATACCTAATTTTTGGCCGTTAGAACTTGGTACTAAAAGTATGTGTATAGAATTCTCGTATATACAAATACAAATAAACTAACAAGGCAACAATAGAGTGAGGGATTAGTAAATCGCAACAGCGCCTGCCGAGCCCTTGTTACAGGCCTTTGATTGAACACTCTATGGAGAATATCAGGAACTACCCAAGAACAAGTTAGAGAATTACCTCCAGTCCCCAGATGGAGAAGAAATAAGTAGGTTGTGGAGAGATTAATTTCCTCGATTATACTTCAGCTAGAATATTGAATATGCAGAGAGAGAGAGAGAGAGAGAGAGAGAGAGATTGCATGAATTATCAGGAAGAAAGAAGCAAGAGGGTCAGCAGCTGCAGCTACTGGTGGTGTTAGGTAGCTAGCTAGAGGAGAAATTGCCAAGCACTTTCTGCCAAGGGAATATTGAGGCCTGCATTCACACACAAATGTCGAAGATATGTCGAATGCAATGGGTTCATGCAGGGTCGTTTCCGCTCTTATACTTTACATAGTTTTGCTTTTCTATTGTCTCTCACTAGTCCATGCCTGTACGTACATAAACGCTCGAATTAGACGGGAATGACCAAAGGAGTTAACAGGTTATATATGTTTTTTTCTTTCAAATTTCACCAAATAATCGATACTTATCGACATAGAACCTCAAGCTGATCTTATTTACGTGACAAAATGTTCCTACTTTTCCAGCAATCATTTTGGGTAAGAGTTTTGATTTGGAAATGCTAAACAAGGAGGAAATAGTCCTGAATCTATCCTCAACTTTACCTTTGAGACTAATCGTACGCTGTTGAACCTATGTCATGCCGACTCAAGCAATCAGCCACTTTCTTTCTGGCATTTAGCATGACAAAATTACTTCTAGTTGATGTGATCAAGCATTCAGTAGAGGCTACTCATTTTGTGTTATCAATTTGAAATCTTCACAGTCTCGATGATAATTTTCACGTTTGAGCACTCAGGCAATCTGATTTATCGCAACATCATGCAAAGGAGAGAAGAGGATTGGTCAAGAGCCCAACAGCTTGGTGTGAAATGTTTAGAGGCCTATGCTGCAGGAGCTGTTGGAACAGTCATCTCCATCTCTGCAGAAAACATTGTTTCCTCGTTTTACAATAAAAAGGCTGCCAATGTGATGCAGATAGCCCTTTGAATTAACATTTTTCTTAGGTTCCTTTCTTGCATTGCAAGGTAAACTTAAACATCAATTGCATTGGCTTTTCTTATATCAGGCGGTGAAGAACACTGGGCTCATTAATCTATTTACTCGAAGTCTTCCTGTTTGAATTACATTTGTCGGCCTTGTAGTTACCTTGCAGTGGTTTCTATGACAGCACTAAATTTCTATGTCGACTGTAAGTGCATTTTACTTGATTCAGATTTGAGACACACCAACACAGTTGCTTTCCTCTCTGTTTGAAATGTTTTTAGGCCTTCCAGTGGAGGGCTAACGAGGCGTCTTGAAGAAGCCAACTTATCAGCTGAATAACAGATTAGATAAAGAGCAGTTCAATCGGATCAATCTCTTCGAGCATGAGCTTAGTCACTCCCTATACTATCGTTTTCTCCGGCTTCTCAGCTTTGATCCTTCGTCATGCTACACGTTCATCACCGGCATAGGTTACAATTTGAATTAATAGTTTTGTCATATCCTATTTCACAAATATGCATTCCAGCTTCGTGATACTTTATAATTCAGGGTGCATAGGCATAACTGGTGGCCGAAGCCCACAAACAATAACAATACAGCAACAAGAATCTGCTACCACATTTTGTTCACCATAAACATGGCTAATCTTGCGAAGTAGTTCGTCTTGTTCAGATCCAAAACTCCATATCTTCTTCTCCTTTTGGTGTCCAAATCGTGACATTTGATCTAAATTTCTCAGCATCTCCAGCATACAACAAGCAGATCCCATACATTTTACCTGTTGGGCTCAAACAGTCAGGCGCTGTGTGGTGTGGTGGTACCACCTGCCCTCCTCAGCAGGGCAAGAGTATGTTCCAAACATCATATAACCTGACAAATCTCCCGAAATGACATGAGGATAAAAAGGATCATCTGCGGTCTTATCTTGGGTGCTTATCATCTTCTCTTCTAGCTCAGAGTACACAGCCTGGATTCCCCATTACTTTACCCGATACTCTTTACATCTTACGTATACAGAAAAATTTACCTCATTGCCACCTTCCAATTTATTCCCAAACTTCCAATGGCTTAACCATATTACGTCTTGTTCATCACCTGGAACACCGAATAATGATGGCCCGTAGATCCACTTCAGAGTTCAGGCAGTTACTCTTATTACTAATTTGGCACATTATTGTATAATCTAAACATTGGTGTTAGGAGAATCGTTGCTGATGGATTTTGCATAGACAGAGAAGGTGTTCAAGCCTCGGATCCTGCGATTCGGAAGTACAAAGGCACAGTAAAATATATGCGGACCCTCGTATACTTTCATGGCTATACGAGCCGTAGTGAGGAACCTCATAATTCCCAGGAAGAAATGTACTGAATGTGCTGTATTCGTACAGTCCCTATACACCATGGAAACCAAAACATTAGTAACGCACTACTGCATGTGATATGTGATAAAGAAAAATGTGTCTCTGTGTGTGCGTGTGCGTGTATTACAGAGATCTAGAGAGAAAAACACCTGGACGGCACGACGCTCCGCATTCCAACCATGCAACCGATGTATTTTGTTTGTGTGGAATACTTCAAGTTGGGCTCTATCTTGTATTTCGACTCATACTCCAGTAGCGTGTTGGTGCCACTGCGTTACGGTGCACCCCTGACCTAATGCTTTGAAGTGTGTGAGAACCAATATCGTACACTTGGTAGCCCCGCTAGCAATTTAAATCTCGTACAACCCCGAAAAGAGGGAGTATCAAGCCCAGAAACACCTCTGAAGAAATCACGGTTGTTGGCATTCAAATCTCATTGATAGAAATTTGGTAACAACCGTGAAGAAAGCACAACCATCTAGTATTCTAACAACGACATCTTTGTCCATTCCGATAAAGAAGCATGCAATATGAAGGTATACATCTTGGTCGTGGCTATCTTGCAAGATTTGACCATTTGGAATAGCTTCCAATTTGCGTAGTGCACTTCAGGTATGATTCAAACTTTTATTGTATATATTTATATGCTTGACTATACAATTGAACTTTGTACAGATATCTTGTTTGATTCAACATTGTTCAATTTTGAATAAGTTCCAAACTTCACTTGAACCTTATCGTGTGGTATTGTTTCTTAATAGGTTTTATCAACTAGTACTTTTCACCCGAGACCATGTAACGGCCTTTATTGAGAGCTAACAAAGTTTATGCAGACATGTCAAATTCTTAGTTATCAATGAGAAGGAAGAGCAAGTCCATATTAGCTATTACAAGGGCAAGTCACAGCTTATTTACTGAGCGTAACAGTCTATCTTAATCCCTTAGATGTGATTTTGTTAAGGCTGTTCCTGTTATCCTCATCAAAAGGTACCAGCAAAGCAAGATCATCCACTTTCTCCTTCCTTTCTCACTGACATATTATCGAGGCTCTAACACCTCACGCGCCATTGTTACCATCTTCCAGCGACAAACATTTGTGCAACTGAAAGCATCTCAAGAAGATAGTGGCCATGGTCATTATACTCGGTACCACTTTCCAACCTCTGCATGCACCACTGCTATCGATACTATTGCAATTGCTACTGCTGCTCTCCTCATGTTCTACAAGCGTGCATTCACTTTCTCGATCTTCTTCTTGCTCTACCAGCTGATATTTAAGTCCCAAAGATCCATGGCCTTCGGACAAAAAAAACGAAAGATCAATGGCCTTACAAATAATAATTAAAAAAACTTGTGAACATCTACCTACCTGATAAAGATCAGTGGTTTCATAGCTGGAGTGAATTATACACACACACACACACAGGACATACGAACCACATACCTGTTATTTCATTACTATTGTGCTTGAACCAAACATAACTTAGCACATCCCTTCTTTCTAATACTGGATTATGGCAGAGAAGGTATGTTCCTGATGATCCTGGCAGCAGATAATGTGACAAATCTCCGGCGATGACACGTGGATAAAAAGGATTATCTGTGTTGAAATTTTCTTGGGCGGTGACTGTCACCTTCTCTTCTTGCTCGTAGTACACAACCTGGACACCGAACTCCTTTACCTGAAACTCATCATATATCATAAATGATGATGTAAGTATTGAAACAGTCAGCTCATCGCCACCTTCCAATTTATTCCCGAATTTCCAATGGCTTAACCATATCACATCTTGATCATCACTTGGAATTCCGAATAATGCTGGCCCGTAGATCCACTGCAGACCTTTACTCTTATTTCTAACATCTATCATTATTGTATAATATAAACCATTCATATTTTTTACTCTGATGTTAGGAGATTCATCGCTTTTGGATTTTTCATAGACAGAGAAGATGTTCAAGCCTCGGATCCTGCAATAGGGAAGTACAGGCACAGTAAAAGATATTGAGGGCCCTCTACTTTTATGGCTAAATGAGTCATATTGAGGAACCTCATAATTCCCAGGAAGAAATGTGCTGAATATTCCAAATTCATGCAGTCCCTATACGTGCCATGGAAATGTATAAAAATTAGTCAGAGTACTCTTGCGGGCATACAGTATTATGATCGGAAGAGAGATGTAGAGAGAAACAAACCTGGATGGGAAGACGCTTTTCTATCCATCTGTGGAACCGTGCGGGTATCTTGTACTTCATAATGGATTTTGTTGAATATTTCAAGTTGCTCAAACCCAAAATGGTGATCATTTCTATATCAACTCTTTCAATAGGCTCCATCTTGTACACTGACTCAAACTCAACTAGCTTATGGTTGCCACGGCATTCGATGGAGCGCATTCTAGAGTACACCTCACTTAATGATTGAAATGTTACCGTTTCCAACTTTTCACAATCAGCGATTATCAAGTGCCCTACAGTTGGTAGCCTTACAAGCGATTTGAGCCTTTTACAATCCTCAAAAGAGAGTCTACGAAGCCCCGTAACACCTCTAATGCAATCTGGTAGGCTATGAATTGGATTACCCCCCAGATCTAAGCTACACAACGTGGATAAGTTGCCAAATTCTCTGGGAAAATCATCATCACCAAGATTGCACTTTCTAAGACTCAAGTCTACTAAATTGCATGGTAGATAAGAAGCCCAAGTAATTTCTACATTTCGTCTTGGCCATAATGTGACCTCCTCGGTAGCAGTGAGTAACTGATGTATTGGAACACCGTCAGCTTGAAACACTTTCAGAGATTCCATCTTCCTCGTGTCTATGGGGAAAACGCTGAGGCTTGAGCAACCAGATATAACAAGTGTTTCAAGGGAGGTTAGCTTAGAAATATTCTCTGGAAGCTTCTTAATACTTTTGCAATATTCCATATTCAAATGCACAAGTCCCTCTAAGTTTCCAATGGATTCATGGACATCAACCAAGCTTGAACAATCTTTAAGAATCAGCCATTCTAGATTGGGGACCAGAGAAAAGTCCGGGGTTTCGGTGAGGTCATTGGAATGGCTAAGATTTAGAATCTTTAGTGATGGGAGAAACTGTTCAGAAAATTGAAACAAGGTAGAATTATATTTTTACTAATGTATAACTAATCATTGAAAAAACTAAAAAGAAAAGGGAAATCATAACATAGTGTGAAGAGTAGCAAACCTTAGTTCCCTTCCAGACTTGCCTCATGCTGCTGTAACACATTTCCAGAACAACCAAATTCTTCAAAGAAAAATCAGAGGGTATAGAACCCTTCAAAAATTTATGCCAACACAACCATCTTAAGCTTGTCGGAAATTCTTCATAGGATCCATTGAGTTCTACATAAGTAAGCTGCAGAAGTCTTAATTTGTGCATCATTGAAAACGCATCCGTTTCAAAAACTACCTGATTTGAATTTCTTGAAGAAGAGTATTCTGGGTGGTTTTGCACGTTGAGCAAGACCTTCAATTGTTTGCGTTCCCTATTTAACATAGAAAAGAAAGAAAATTGGTTAATTAGCTATGACAGAACCAAAAGAAACATGAACACATATCAGAGGAGCACATGTTTCTTACATTCTTTTCTGCCAATACTGCAAAAGAATCCTTATGATGCCATAATCTACTACGTTCCCCAGGCTCCTTTGATTCCAGACGAACAATTCCTCTTGCCATGTCACGGATCATGTGATGCATCTGCACCATATTATCTCCATCGAGTCTTACCAAATTTCTATCAATGAGATTTTGAATTCCAACAACTGTGAAAAAATCACAGGCATCTAGTATTCTAACGATGATATCTTTCTCCATTCCGATAAAGAAGCAGGCAATATGAAGGAATAAATCTTGGTCATGGCTATCTTGCAAGGAATCGTAGCTTATTTTGAGTTTTTTCAAGATTTGACTGTCCGGAATAACTTCCAGTTTGCTTATTGCACTTTCCCATACAGCTATATTCTTTCCTGCCATTGAAGAACCTAAAATTTTAATTGCTAATGGAAGTCCTCCACAGTGGTGTACAAACCGTTTTGAAACATCGCTATAGCTTTCAGTGGGATGGTCTTGCCCAAAAGCGTGCAAACTGAAGAGCTCTAACGATTCACTGTCATTCAAAGTTTGAAAACCATGAAACTTAACCATATGGTGGTAGGAATTTAACAACCCTGCATTACTTGTTGTAATGATGATTTTACTTCCCGGATAAAATTTATCTTGCATCCTTAGCAGTCCATCTAACTGCTCCATGCAATCTACATCATCGAGGACAAGAAGAACTCTTTTAGAGCAAATAGCATTTTCAATCTTAGCCATTCCTTCACTAATACTATGAATTTTCACTTTCCTCCCATTCAAAATATCATGAAGAAGCTGTTTCTGTATCTGAATCAAGCCATTCGATTTTTCTGAAAAGTCTCGTATGTTCTCTACAAAACTGTGCCTTTCAAATCTTTCAAAATTTGATCCGTAAACAAATTTTGCAATGGTTGTCTTTCCAATTCCACGCATTCCATGAATTACAAGTATACCAACATCCCTTGATCCATCTTGTAACCATAAATTGATGTCCTTGACTCGAGACTGGATTCCAACCAGGTTGGAGTCAACACTTATGGGCGTCCTCCTTAGTTTGTCTTCAATCACTTTAACAATTTTCATGATAAACTTGGATTCATGCCTGAAAAAATGCAGTGAAATTGAACATTGAAAACCTAATCAAACATGCAATGAGCCATGACTTCTATTAATTACAATAATTAAGGCAACAGATGTTGAAAGAATATATAGTTTGGAAGTTCAAACGTCATAAAATCGACTTAGCTATTTGTAACGAAATTACGTACCCATCTTCTTCATTTTGTAAGACCATCCCAGCCAAATCTGCAGCTTCTGCGAGTGCTTCCCTCCATCCCTTCACCGTGTCAAACGATTGAGTTTTTTGGTGTCTAGCAAAAGCTTTTGCAATGGATCCTGTCTGCTTCCTCAAATGGGATGGATCGACATCGTAGAAGACCGGTAAGACTACATGGTGGGAGGTCTTCTTGCGTTTGAGGATCATCACAAGCTCATTAAGGCACCATCTCGAGGACGAGTAGTCTTTCGAAAACACAACGACAGAACTTCGTGATTGCTGTATGGCTTTCACGAATTCTAGCTTAATATCTTCCCCTCTCTCAAGTTCATCGTCATCTCGGAAAGTTCGAAAGCTTGCGTTGACAAGGGCTGCGTAGAGGTGATCCGTAAATGTCTTGCGAGTGTCTTCGCCTCTAAAACTCAAGAAAACGTCATAACTGCATCGAGAAGTAGAACTGTTGGGATTGGAAGATGAGGAGGATTCTTGTGTTCCAATTACGAGAGCCATTGAATTCAGAAGAAAGCAACTAAATGTGCCCGGGGAAGATTAGGAAATCACTTCTTGCCTGTTTCTACATCAGGGGATGCTCAAGTCAATTGATCTTGGGCAGGCAATTATGTCCTACTTGTGATAAATTATCTTTTTTTTCATTCATCTCGAGCAGTGGACTTTTGATTTCTTGCCATTTCATAATTTAGACTCCTTTTACAAGTTTTGCATTCGTCATTGACTTCTTTGACTTGGCATGGGTGGCCTTTTCAACCGTTACAAGACCATCTCCAACTAAAGGGAAGAACAGAGGATCGAAAATAGTCTTAAAATAGTTTCCAACAGAGGGCTCGTGGGCCTCACAGAATCTGAAATGACCAAAGGCCCAACAGAGGAACAGATGATCGAAAATAGTCTGAAAACAATTTCCAACAAAAAGTTCGTAAGCCCCACAGAATCTGAAAGGACCAAAGGGTACTGGCTAACCTAATTTCAAATTATTTTTTTTTGTCTTTTCCATTAGCCCAACCTTTTTAATTTCTTTATTTTTTTTGTTCTTTTCCATTTCCCAGCCCACTTTAGGGTTTAGGGCTTAGGTTTTTTTATATGGTCTCAGCCCACTTTTTGTTTTTATGCCTAGCAGCCTTTTCCTTTTTTTTTTTTTTTAATTTTTAATTTTTTCCTACATCATTTTTCACATATTTGTCACTATTCCAATCTTATCTCATTTTATTTCAATTCTTCACATTCCATACTATAACTCTTTGGCCGACGGTTGGAGACGGTTTTTTATGACAGGGCTAAAACGAGTCCTATGACCCTTTGGCCCTTGGTTGGAGATGGAGGCAAATATGGCGATGTACTGTTCATTATAATATTAATATCATGGAGGGCTAGATGGCTAAAACGAGCATTCTGAACCTCGTTCAGTTGTAGCCCCATATAAAGCCATTCATCAAGAATGTTGTAAGCAAGGATGAATTGGTGATCTTATTTACTTAGTCGCCTTTTCATACATGGGAATTCATCTTTTCAATCAATATATAGATATAGAAATCTATAATCGAAACTGTTTATACAACTTTTATTTTATCAATATAATTTTTTTTCTTCATCCATACGAAAAAGCAACATAATTAATGGGTGTTAATGTTTAGGTGGACTATTTCAAAGTACCAACGAAGAGTAAAGTGAAGAGCGTTCTCAAATAGTCAACAAAAATAAAAAGTGACGAGCCATGACATAATGAAATTAACGAGCTAAATAGTTGAAGTCAAAAGATATAAATTCATTTATGCAAAGCCTCTTATATTCTGTTTAAGCATAACGGCTAGTGTTTGCCAAAGTTTTACATGCTCCTAAGACAAACCCTAAACACACTCGGAATAACAAGAATGCTAAGTTTTTTTCCAAGAAAAATAGAACTTTGGTTTTTCAATTAAAAAAATAGAAGTGTTAGAAGGCTATTTGGACACTTGGCATGTTTTTAGCAGATCTTGTTGAGCCTATTTTGTTTTCTGTGACATGACTCACTGATACTGTCAGGCAGACTTTTCACTATGGAGGCAGATTGGTTGCCTCTCATCTCTTTTTATTTTGTGTCATCACGGTTAAGTTACGTCAATATTTTATATTAATTTTTTTTATAGAAATAATAAAACAAAAGATAATAAAAATATAAAATATTAACGTAACTTAACTGTAATTGTACAAATATGAGGAGATAAGAATGACATCCAAACAGGATGGCAGACAATTTGTCTCCTTTCACTATAGCTTTCTTCATGTGCGCAGCCCACTGATTCATGCTGAGCTGATTTAAGCAATGTATTTGTTGAAAAATCCAATCCTACATTAAAAACTTAACAAAATATATTATTATGTTTATAAATGAATGATTTCACAGTTCATTATTATATTATAAAATTATATAATATCGATTTTTTTTCTTTTATAAAACCTAACATATGTCGAGTTGTACAAATAATATATTAAAATAATATTAGTGTGATTAGTAGTAAACTGTTGACCCGACTTTAAGATGTTAAGAACAAGCAGAGATATAGTAGTGAGTTTCCTGGAACCTACATAAAGGCTTAGGTTGCACTTTGGATGCATGCAAGCCGTGAGTCTTGGTTGTAAAGTCTACCAACATGGTCTTGACATTTGAGGGACAAATTGAAAATGCATTTTTGTAAAACGAAAGGCAAGATTTACAACCAATCCTTGTGTTCTACTTGGAAACTTTTAATTTAATCGATTTGGCCTTGGTGTTTTATGACGTAAATTTTCTTGTTCAATTTGCTTCAGTTTGACGTTAATTCATTTTGATGTATATAAACAAATTAACCACTCTTTATACTGAAAACATTTTATATGACACAAATATCGTAATCGTGGTATTTCATGTCAATATATAACGTTATTTATATATAAAAAAAACTTAAATATATCGTTATATTATTGATACAAAAACTTCAATACTAATATATTCAGCCCATAAAGTCCTTATGCCTATGAAGACCGTAGAGATAAGGCCATCTCCAACCGATGGCTGGCCAGAGGGCTCGTTTTAGCCCTCTGGCCCTCCAAGATTCTCCAAGATATTAATATTTTAATGAACAGTACAGGGCCATATTTGCCTCCGTCTCCAACCGAGGGCCAGAGGGCCAGAGGGCTCGTTTTAGCCCTGTAAAAAAAAACCGTCTCCAACCGAGGGCCAAAGGGCCATAGGGTCAAACATAATTTATTATTTAAAAACTACAACTTAATTTTATTTAAAAATCATGTTGGTTAGTGTTGTATAATTTTTATGTCGGTTAATGTTATTTAATGTTGTTTCATATTGTTTAATGTTGTTTCATGTTACTTAATTTAATTTAATGTTGTATAATGGCTTAGGAAGTTATAGGAAAAAAAATAGAATTTAAAAAAAAATATGAAACAAATTTTTGTGAAATAGAAGTTATAGGAAAAAAATGGAATTTAAAAAAAAAATATGAAAACAAATTTTGTAAAATAGAAGTTATATGAAAAAAATATGAACCAAATTTTGTAAAATATAAGTTATAGGAAAAAAATAGAATAAATTGAAACAAATTTTGTAAAATAGAAGTTATAGGAAGTTATAGAAAAAAAAAAGAAAAAAAAAGGTTTAAATTCATAAAAAAAAAAGGATTTACAACGGCTAGTGGCGCTAGCCGTTGGAAGTTTGAATTCAAAATGTTATTTCTGTTGGTTGTAACCGACAGAAATAATATATATTATATTATTTCTGTCGGTTATAACCGACAGAAATAAGAAACATTAAAAAAAAAAAATAGCCAGCCCTCCAGCCCTCTCCGATCCCGTGGGGCCCTCCCA